GATCAGGGTCTTCTGTTTCTTCTCGTCGAAGCTCAAGACGCGTTCGCAGGGCACCTCGCGTCGGGAAGCTGCGGCGTCGCACGATGTCCATGTCGCATCATGGAAGCCACAAGTACAGAAGGTTCAAGGTTAAAGAACGTGGGAAAAGCCAAGGATTACAAAGTTCGAAAAATGTCTTAATGGTTTGAACATGTTGTATGGACGCCCAAGTGGTGAATGAACTGTGCAACGACTTAACTGTGCTAGTGTTAATTGCATCTGCAAGAAGTGTATACTGTATATATATATATGTATGTATATGAAAGTTGCCGATTCGCTTGTGTCCTCTTTTCCCCGAAAGCACCTGCGAAGGATTCTCCTTCAAGAACGTCTACCAATTTCATCCAATTTCAACTGTCCAACTATCATTTTGATCATCATCATTATATATCATTATCACTCTAATCATTATCATCACCATTAACATTATCAGGATCAACATCATGGTAAACACTATCAGCATCAGCACCATCAATCATCATCATCATCATCATCATCATCATCATCATCATCATCATCCCTGTCATTATCATCAGCACTGTCATCTTCATGGACATCACTGTCATGAAATTCCCATGGTCAACCTTGGAGCTTCCCCATTTTACAGCAACAAAAAATGGCTTCCCCCACCCTTGTTTCAAGTAGAAAAATAACCTTTTCATCCGGATCACCCAATGGATTTTCCTCCGAGCCACAAAGAAGTCGTCCCAGATCTTACACCAAACCTCGCTTGTCATCTCGGCCTTGGGATTCCCCTCCTGCGATGGTGCACGGGGGAACACGAGAAGACTCGGGCGATGGTGCCGTCGCGACGAGTCGACGCAGAGTCAGATGTGTCAGATGTGTCTGTACTTAGTACTTGAATGCTTCGCATTGGATAGTAGGTCACCAAGAGCCTACAAACCTCTAGAAACACCAGCCGGCCTGTTTCCCGAAGCATGTCGTTTGCAGCCAACGACATGCAATCCTTCTGCAGGAAGGAGCCTTCCTTCCGTCATCTTGTTCAGCCGTTGTCTCTGTGACTCCCTCAATTTGCCTATAAGAAAGTAACCCAATTGCAGATGCAGATCGAGATGTCACCTTTCTCCACCTAAATTGGAGTGGGAACCTTCCCCTTAAAAAAAATTGTAAAATGGGGGTTCTGGGGGGTTCTTGTTCATCAACCGCCTCGTTGATTTTTCTTGGCTCTTGAAAATTATTGTTGAGCCCTTGTCGGTTTTCTGGGGTCTTGTTATGCATGTTTAAGGGTCATAACTGTCACTATCATTGCTGTAATTCAACGAGGTGGCTGATTGTTTAGGTTGTTGTGTTTTGTTGTTTGTTGATGTTTTGGGTTTTGGGCTTATATTTCCATAATGCCAGTTTCATCATCCTCTCCATTTCTTATAATTTTCGGCTGTTCTTTTCCTTTTGCTTTGTTTTGATGGGTGATGCGTTCCTCGTGTCGTTTGACTTGATAGATATTTGTTTATGATGCATTCACACACCGGACATACTAATGTTTGTTCATTTTTGCTATAGTAGTATTGTCTCGCATACTCTCTTAATTTATTGTGGTTGTTCTCCCTGTACCATTGCTTTGCTTCCAGACATAATTTACATTGCTTACATTCATTTTTGAAATAGTTGAGTGGTTGAAAGACCTTACATTTGGAACATTTTTTGTTAGTCATTGTATCCCTATAAGTTTAAGGGGTTATGTCTTTAAATGTTTTTTAGGGGGTTCTCTTGTTGTGGGGGTTTGGGTTTCAAGGATTAGTTCATAATATGTTTAATTAAGATATTATGAATTGATCAGTGTCTCCATTGTTCATCATCTTTTCCTATTCCATCCCAATGTTCAGATACAACCGTTTTGATGTTATAGAACACTAGAATGATTGTATCTCTATCCATACTTGGTTGGTCAATCAAGTGCTTCAACACAGACAACACTGTATAATAGTTTTGTTGTAATGCTGTCTTTCCTCCTCTATGGTGTATTCTCTCACCGTTTCTTTTTACAATATCTTTGTCAACAATGTGTTCATAAATTTCTTTCATAAGGTCGTGGTTTATTTCTCCATACTCTGCGTATTGTGTTAAAGATTTTTCTTGCTTCAGGAGCAGGTCTTTGGATACAAAATTGTAATCAGGATATGGATTTTCCTTTATAAAGGTTATTAATCGTCTATCTCTTTGTAATTCTTCCTCACTTACTCCTCTCAGCTTCCAGCTCCACAGCTTGCTCCGCGCACTAAAGTTGTACTACCAAGTCGCCAGTTCTCATCTTGCAGCTCCCCAAATAAGTTTTTTTACTCTTAATATATATCGGTATTTGTATTTAAGTGTTTATAAGTGTTCTATATATGCTCTTCTATTTCTGGTTCTTTGATGTAGTGCTCATAATATCTGAAGAGTTCATTGCGATATTCCCGCAAGAAGGTGTCCATACTGTCTTTGATTTTGATTGTTTGTTTCGGAACACTCACCCCTCCCTTCTTCTCTTCTTCGTCCTTTCTTTTTGAATAAAAATTAGGTTTTAAAAAATTAAAAAACGCAACGCCGACGCCCACGCATCCCCCGACCCCCCTGAAGTGGATGAAGACCTCCCTTCTGACCAAGCAGGACGAACGATAGGACAATGCTCTACTCGTGCACTCCCCTGCCACCCACCATATACTTTT